GGGCAGCTGCTCAGCCCTGGGGAGGCTGAGGAGGAGCCCAGGCAGCAGCAGCACCCACCACTGTGCAGGCTCAGGTGCCGTGTCGGCGTGGACGCCCCGTCGAAGATCGCCCTGTCCAGGAAATCTATGGTGGACTCGGTGTAAACAATCTGGAAGACTTGGCTGAGAAGTGAGCACAGCTCCTCGGCGGTCACCTGGGCAAGGAGGGGACAAAGAAGGGCTGGTAGAAGGCAGAAGACACGGCAGTGGCCTCCTGCTTCAGCCCCTCACGGGGGGAGAACCTGCTCGTCCAAGGTCCTGGGCACTGCTCGAGCCTCTGGGGCTCCAGGGCTGGAGGTGACAAACCTGGAACCTCATTAGTAACATCCTGTGGCATTTTCCTTGGTGGCAGAGGAGATCTATTGCTCCTCATCACCCTCTTCAACCAGCCAGACCCAGGCACCAGGAGATCAGCTGCTCCCTTGTCACCTCCCAGCTATTAATCGGCACCCAGATTCATGGTGATGTTCTGTCCTACCTCAGCCCAGTTCCCTGGGACTCTGGCTACATAACCTACATCCCAAATAAGTGTGGGCACCCCAGAGAGTGTTAGAGCCCAAAATTCTGCCCTGAAAGCAAAGGGTTCCTGCTCTAGAAGGAGGGGCACGTAGGCTGAGATCAGAATCTCTGCTTCCAGAGCCTGGATGACACAAATTGCCAGGTCAGCATCAGAAAAATGTCCTGGTCAGCAAAACCTACTGTGGGAGAGATCTAGTTGTCCTGACAGATTTCCTGCTGCTGGAGAAAGCTCTGGGCAGCAGGCCCCACCACCAAGGGAGAACCATTGTCCTGTACCCTTCTTGTGTCTGAACCAGGTCCCAGGGCTAGGACAGGGACCAGGTTTCCTCCTCCAGGCAGCACCTGGGTGGCCAGCAAAGCCCAACCCACACCCTACAGCCTTCAAACTGGGCTTATGTGTGTGACAGAGCGTGCCTACGTCAGCACCTGGTCACATCACACAGGGGACTCAGGAAGAGAGCAGGATGAGGCCACCACAGGGCTTGTGGCTTCCCACCATCAACCCTACAGGTTGCGGCGCCAGGCTGAAGAGCCAGAAAACCTCCCCAGTAATCCCAGTCTCAGCGTTGCCACAACCAGAGAGCGACTTCAACGTGGGACAGAGCTTGAAGAGAGGGAGGTTGGAGCCTTACTTTGTTCTCCGTGGCCAGGACCACCAAGGAACAGGCTTCCACAGGAACCACCCCGCTCTCGGAGAGCGAGCCCGACGCCAGCGCCTTGGAGCTCTCGGCGCAGAGACTCTGGCTGGGGGAGATCCCGGGGTCCTGAGCTGGGGGAGAGAAGTGGGGATGGAAAGGGGGGAGGCAGGGAGAGCCCCAAGACTCGTCCCTCGTGGGGGACGACAAAGCCACTGAAGCAGGAGAGCAGAGGATGGGAGAAAACGCCCTGGGAGAGGGAGCTCTGGGGAGCCCCCAGGGGCAGCCAGGGCCACAGCTTTTGGGTGAAAAGCTGCTCATTTAGGGGTTTGTTCTGACAACTCTGTAAATTGCCAGCTTCATTTCCACGGCTTCAAAATCCATCAGCAGAATTACAGCCTCCTAAGTCCCTCCCTCAGCTGTTCCCCAGACTGCCTGCTGCTGCCACGGGCTCTGTAATCCGCTCAGACTCGTGGCATTACATCCTCTAAGTAGCTCAGGGCTCCCCAAAAGCTCCAGCCCCAAACCCACACAGCTGGGACACACATGGAGCTGTGGGGGCAGACGTGAGGCCTCCCCAGGCAGGATAATGAGGGAGGTCAGGGGTGGAAGGGACCTTTCAAGGTCATCCAGTCTCACCCCCTGCAGGGAGCAGGGACATCTGCAGCTAGAGCAGGGTGCTCAGAGCCCCCCCAACCTCCCCTGGGATGGTTCCAGGGATGGGGCAGCGACCACCTCTCTGGTCAGCCTGGGCCAGGGGCTCACCGCCCTCAGTGTCAAACATCTCTCCCTTCTCTCTAGTCTAAATCTCCCTCTTTTTGTTTCAAAACATCCCCCCTTGTCCTGTCCCAACACTATTGGGAAACACTTTCCTGAGGAAGTCTCCAGGAAATGACAGGTCTCAGTTGGGGTTGGGCAGTTGCTGGAGGATTCTCCAAGTGGTGCATGAGCTTATGCTTCATGTCCAGACACAACCCAGCCCAACGTCCCTCACCTCCCCCAGTGCACTCACTCTTCTGAGAGTCACAGCACGCTCAGGGGACACAGGGACCCAGAGTCCTCCCTCCACCCTGCTAGAAAAGGATGGACCAAAACAACTCAAGGAAGGAGACTAGAGAGAAGGGAGAGATGTTTGACACTGGGGCTGGTGAGCCCCTGGCCCAGGCTGCCCAGAGAGGTGGTCGCTGCCCCATCCCTGGCACCATCCCAGGGGAGGTTGGGGGGGCTCTGAGCACCCTGCTCTAGCTGCAGATGTCCCTGTCCCTGCAGGGGGTTGGGCTGGATGACCTCAAAAGGTCCCTTCAACCCAAACCACTCCATGATTCTTTGAAGAGCACTGACTGTTTTGCTGTGTTCTCACCCCCCATCACCTCTATCCTGCTCCTGGCCATCCCTTGACCCACACAAGGGTGACACTGGCTGACACCCCACACCCCAAATCACACAGCTACAGCCCACCCTTGCTGGCCACCACTTTACCTGTCTTCAGCACGACCAGGTGAGAGGAGTCGTCTCGGATGTAGGACACGGAGGCGATGTCGTGGATGGGGACCCTGAGGATGAGATCTTCTCCGTCCCTCCACACCAGCTTGATGTTGTAGGCAGAGAGGCTGATGACAGCGTCGTGTTCCTGGGTCAGCTGCCCCGGGAGCTGGTGTGCTCTCTGAAACACACACACACACATCTGTGTCCCCCTTTGGGGAACACTCTGCTCCCTCCGCGGCGGGTCTGCGACAGGTCGAGCGCTCACCTTTGCGTTATCGATCAGATGCAGGATCTCTGTTCTGCTGGAGGGATTCAGGTACCCTGGGATGGAGGTGAGTTGACCTAAATACTGGAAAAGAAACACCAAATCGTTATCACAAGCACAGAACACCCTCAGCGTGCCCCTGAACGTGTCTGCATGAAAGACAAGAGGTCTCCTAAAAAAAGCAACCACAAGAAAGACACCTTCGACACAGAACCAAGGGCTGGTGGCTCCAGCCCCTCTTTGGAAGCTGCCAAATCACAGAATCATGGAGTCACTGAGGTGGGAAAAGACCTTTAAGATGATTGAGTCCAATCATAAATACATCTAACTATGAAGAGCTCTCATGAGGGGGGGGTCGGGCTCTTTTCTCAAGGAACAAGGGACAGGACAAGAGGAAATGGCCTCAAGTTGCCCCAGGGGAGGTTGAGGTTGTCCCTGAGGAACAATTTGTTGCCCTGGAGGGTTGCCCAGGGCTGTGCCAGGCTGCCCAGGGCAGTGGTGGAGTCCCCACCCCTGGAGGGGTTCCCAAGCTGTGGAGATGTGGGGTGAGGGACACGGGGCAGGGGGGACCTGGCAGGGCTGGGGGCACGGTTAGACTCCAGGAGCTTACAGATCTCTCCCCACCCCAACCCATGCCGTGACTCTGCAGTTCTCTGCCCTTCAGGTGCCCCGGGGGTTCCTGGAGCTGCAGGGCCCTGGCAGGCAGCCTCACCTTCACTTCCTTCTCGATGTAGTCGTTGAGCAGCAGGTCGGGCTCCACGCGCTCGGGCAGCGGCACCAGCACCGTGTGGAGCGGCCGCCGCTCCGCCACCTTCTCCTGGGCCTTCTTGTCACGCCCCTTCTCCCCCTTCAGGAAGACTCGTTTGAAAGGAGACACTATTCCAGGCTGAGGAGAGAAAGGGAAACGTTCAGGGTTAAGGGCAAGAGAGGGACTTTCTGCCCCCCAATTCAGGGAGGGAGCAGCAGCACCCGCCGCCCCGGCGCTCCCCAGTACAGCCGCGCTCGCAGGCTGGGTCCAGCAGCCCCAACCA